ATGAAGAAATGCTTGCTATCACTAGTCATCTACGAGATGTAATTCAAAACAAAGATATCACTTCACCTAGGCACTGATGGCAAAGTTCCAAAAAGCAAAAAATAACAAATGTTGGAGATGGTGCAGAGTTTGGAACCCTCATAGCATGTTGGCTGTGAAATAGTACATCCACTAAACAAGAGCGTTATGGCGCTTTAACACACAATTGAGAACAGGAACACCATATGACCCAACAATCGCACTACTTTATGTAAACCCACAGAAATAGGGACCACAGCGTGAAGAGAGACATGCACGTTCATTCTGACTGCACTGGTATTCACAATAGCAAAAAGGTGGAAGCAAACTAAATGCCTACCAGTGGAAGAATGGAAAAAAAGCCTTTGGTACACACACACACAAGGGGACAGCACAAGTGGCTAGGTTTAAAGAACAGTGTGAAACAATTTATGACATGGATGGAGGACATTATGTTGAGTGTAGTTAGTCAATCCCCAAAATTGTATGAGACCACAGATAGGGGGGAAAAATCAATAACACGTTTTCATTTCATATAAAACAGATTTTGTTAGTTACCAGGGGTAGAAGGGGGAACAGGGAAGGAGTAATCATAAGTTAGAGGCCAGGTGGGTACTAACCTGGGTGAAGGGAAAGAGGCTATTCTAAAAAAGGGTGATGATTTTAAAAGGTGGAGAGGGGAGGACAAGCCATGGAGAAGATTACAAGTTGTTTAAGTTGTTGAATGCAAAAATGATAGGATATGTAACCCCCCACCCTAATTCACAATAACAAGTTATATGTACTAAAAAAATGACACACCCCGCAAATTGGTGCGAATAGACTTGCTCGACACAGCGTTGCCACAATTCTTCAGTTTGTTAAAAAAAAAAAAAATACAATAACTGCAGAGTGCAATAAAAACGGTATGCCTATACCAAAACACCGTCTATATTTCTCTAAATTATGAATAGTACTATTTAAGACAAAAAAACTGGGGGGGGGGATTGTAAGGGCTTTACCATAAAGGAATTAAATGCATATTTTAAAATACAAGGAAATCATTAAAAGTTAGATGTACTGAAAGGAATACATTTTCA